GCACTAAACATGGCTCTCTGTACTTTATACATGCTCAAAATGTTGTTGAATGAGTGGTTCTTAACCCAAAGACAGCCTCATGTAAGAGCACTGTGTACCTGCCACGGCAACAAGTTATATAAAATACCCTTCAGTAATCTCTCAATTCATTTCATAAACATCACCACCATCAGCATTACAAATCGGTGCCTGTCTTCCAGCTACCAAACACTCAGAAGAGTGTTTTCACTTACTTTCAAAAAAATTCTAAGATTAAGTACTTTTAAAAATCAGGCTGGTAATTCCATCTTACAAGGAATTACTTAAATCAGTGCAAAAATATTCTCTCCTTTCTCCTTGGAAGATGTTATCGTTGAGCACAATAGCTGCATAGCGATGACTGAAAAGGCCAATGTTCATTCAATCGCTCTTGACCTAGTAAGAACATGTGAAGATAGCTGGTCCTTTCACTGTGACTGCAGCTGCTTATGACTAAGCCTGGGACCATTGCCCTGTCAGTCCTTTGGGCCACTGCCAGCCGGCAGTTCCTGCCTTAGATTGTGCCCCTCCACTCAGACTGGCCTGCTTCTAGGGCATCCAGGCTGGAACCAGCACCCAGAGTCTAAGTGAGGCTTTGTATGAGCCGGGCACAACCCTGTGGTCCATGCGGATGGATGCCCTCTTTGGCTCACTGTGCCGATGCTACCTGACCACTGCTGCCACTGGGTCCTACACAAACTGAGTACAGAGAAGTTGGACTTTAGGGTCAGGGCCCCTATCAGCACCAGTCCCTGTAGCTTGAAAACCTTTTCCGTCTGAAGTTTACTAGGTTAGTGGCCTTTACTTTGATAAGAGAATGGCCATGCCAAGCAATGACCAAAACTTTTCCAAAAGCATCCTCTCCCTAGTATAGGTAATGCCTAACAGCACCTTAACTAGCAGTACATAATTAATTATTTTTTAAATTGTGATAAAAATGCGTACCATAACATTTACCACATTAGCCATGTGTAAGTATACAATTCCATGACGTTAGGTATATTCACACTGCTGTGCAACCATCACCATCTCCAACACCTGTTTGTCTTATAAAACTAAAATTCTGTACCCATTAAACAACAACAAAACACTCCCTACCCTCCCTCCCCACAGCCAACTACCATTTCACTTATTTCTATGAATTTGACTACTCTGTCCCTTTCATAAGTAGAACTAAGCATATTTTGTCTTTTGTGATTGGCTTATTTCACTTAGCCCAATGTCCTCAAGGTTCCATGTATATTACAGCATGTGTCAGAATTTCTTTCTCTTTTTTTTGCTATAGGGCGCGTGCGCTCGCCAGACAGACAGACAGACAGAGACAGAGAGACAGAAAACGAGAAATCACCCCCCAGGGGGGATGGTCACGCCGCAATCCCTTCTCCTCCATTCTCCTCTCAGGATCTTGGGCATGCACACACACGCGCCCGGCATGAGTTTAAGCCACCGGGTCCGGGACGCGAACCGCGGTTGACTACGTGGGAGTCCAGCGACATAGCCATTACGCTAACTGCTGGTTCCCAGAATTTCCTTCTCTTTTAAGGCTAAATAATATTCCATTATATGAACATACCATACCTTATTTATCCATTCATCCACTGATTGACAGCTGGGCTGCTTCCATCTTTAGGTTACTGTGAATAATGCCACTGTGAACATGTGTACGCAAATATCTGTTTCAGATTCTGCTTTCACTACTTTGCAGTATGTCCTCAAAAATGAAATTGCTGAATCATATGGTAATTTTATTTTTAATTAAAAAAAGAATCATTCACTGGACTCCCACATAGTCGACTGCGGTTCCTGTCCCAGACCCAGTGGCTTAAAACTCACACTGGGTGCGTGTGCATGCGTGCCCAAGATCTCAAGAGGAGAATGGAGGAGAAGGGACTGCGGTGTGACCATCCCCCCTGGGGGGTGATTTCTCGCTTTCTGTCTCTGTCTGTCTGGTGAGCACACGCACCCTATAGCAAAAACCTCTCAAAAAAAATAATAAAAAGAATTATTTAATTTTATTTATTATCATTATTTTTAAATTTGCTATAGGTCACATGCATTCACCAGAAAGAGAGAAACAGACGAAGGGGTGAGGGAGTAAGAAAGCAAGCCACCAGGTCTAGGACCCAAACCATAGTCGGCCATGAGGGAGTCCAGCACCTTAACCACCATGCCACCTGCTAATCTTCTTATTTTTAATCCTTTAAGGCACAATGATTTGAAAAAAAAAAAAACTTTACTGTTGTTTTAAGTTTTAAGTTGTTTTAGACCAGTGTACCACCGTTGGGTGGTACACTGAAATCAGGAACAGCTATTAGCTTTGCATTGCCGATGGAGGCTTCTGGTGGGGAGCAGAGCTCTTTTAGATGTTAGGTGGATGACAAAAAAATATGTTTCAAGAAATCACATTTGTTAACTCTAGAGAGTTGTATGCATAATCTTAATCCCAAAGTATGAAAGCCAATCCAATTTAATTAAATTATCACATTTGTTAACTCTGGAGAGGGTTGTATGCATAATCTTAATCCCAAAGTATGAAAGCCAATAAAATTTAATTAAATATGCTTTCAGTTCACAGTCTAAGTATTTGGATAATACATACTTAAATCTGAGATCTAAGAGTATTGGAGAAAAAAGTTTAATACTGAGTTAGCAAACTCAACATTATTTATTATATTTTCAGAGAAACAATGTCTATACGATGACAAATACACAACAGATAGTCTAGGATCTTATCTATAACTAGGTTATTTATAGTAATGGTAAAGGAGTAATTTGTGTATTTATATTTTAGTGTTTTTTTATAAATAGGTTAAATTACTACTCCCCCCCAAAACAGGCAGTTTCACTACAATATAAAATGGTACTAAAACAAAACTCATCTCCTGAACCCCTTCAGAAGAAAACATTAAACTGAACATCTAACGTCTTCAAGTGGGACCAGCAATTAGCGTAATGGCTATGTCACTGGACTCCCACGTAGTCGATCGCAGTTTTGAGCCCCGGACCCGGTAGCTTAAACTCATGCCGGGCGCATGTGATTGTGTGCCCAAGATCCCAAGAGAATGGAGGAGAAGGGATTACAGTGTGGCCCTTCCCCCTGGGGGGGGGTGATTTCTCGCTTTCTGTCTCTCTGTCTTTCTGGCAAGCGCACACGCCCTATAGCAAAAACCTCTCCAAAGTAAAGTCTTCAAGCACTCCAGGAAAAGAAAAACTCTACAATATCATCTAATAAAACTTTCAGGAGAGAACACAGAAGGATAAAGGAGAATAAGAGAATGCTAATATACGTGATAGCTTTATAAACCACCTTGACTAACCCAGAATAAGTGGCATTTCAAGCAGATGCTGATGCCTGATGTATTGTGTTCACTTACAAAAAGTACATTTAAATAATCACTATCAGGAACTTAGGGACCCAAAAAGTGCAACATTAAACATCTCGGAAAAGTGAACTTAATTTTTATAAGAATTATTTCATTTAAATTTGTTTGTTTCCATTTGACTAGAGAGGGACAGAGAGAGATTGAGTAAGTGTGGCAAGGAGAGTGTGAAAGCAAGCCACCAGGTCTAGAACTCAAACTGTGGTCGGCGAAGTGGGAGTCCAGCACTCTTAACCATACAACCTGCCGGCCCCAGAAAGGTGGACTGCTGACAAGGAGACTCATCACATGAAAGTCTATCTGAGTGTTGTATCTTCTTTTTCTCAACGCTGTGTCAGCACTAGAATAACCTATAATATCGGCCACCTAGACTTAGACTAAAACGAAGTTATTTTCACACCACAATAACCTAGGGCCATACATAGTATAACTCTAATCATACTGAGATAATCAAACAAAATATAATATACAATAAAACTATCAGAAATAAGAACTCCTTCCTCTTAATTTTCATGCCTCTACTAAATACTGAACATATTTGTCCCTTTACCTCAGAGCCTAAAGAAACAATGACACGTTTTATCTCTGAATCTCAACGGTGCAGCAGGCAGCCGTACTACACTAAGTGTTCAATAAGAAAGCACCTTCCACCATGAAAGAGAATTCAGAGAGCACTCTCCACAAGCCTCTTTCCTCAAATTCCCCATCCCATCAGGATCCTGGGTATGCACACATATGCCTGATGTGTTTTTCTTTTTTGTTTTTAAGAGAGATTTTTGCTATAGGGCACATGCACTCACTGGAGAGACATACATAAAGCGAGAAATTACCCCCCAAGATGAATGGCCACACTGCAATCTCTTCTCCATTCTCTTCCCGGGATTTTGGCCATGCACGCACACACATGTGCACCCAGCATGAGTTTCAAACCGCCAGGTACAGGACTCAAACTGCAGTCGACTATGTAGGAGTCCAGTGACGGAATCATTACACCATCTGCTGGTCCCACCTGATGTGCTTTTCAAGAGGATGGGTTGGAACCTAAATGCTGGTCAACCAAAAGGGATCCAACTTCCTCTAACGTAGCACCTGCTACAGGGCTGGTCCAAGGCTACTGAATTTAAATTAAGAAAAAAAAGCATGTAGTTTTTTAAATACATACATGTTATAAACCTTTGCAGCTTTTAAAAATTGACAAATCGCAGGTACTCTGTCTAACTGAAGTTACGACTTAGACTCTGAGTAAGTGCACACCTACAGCCAAGCTTTGCTTCAAATACAGACCAGGATTTCTTCATCTCCCTAAGCCTTATTTTAATCATATGTAAAATATAGAAAAGTATTAGTACCTAATTCAGGGATTTGTTATGAGTATATGTGGTGATGCAAGGAAATTAGCTTATCACAGGGACTGGAGAATAAAAAAATACTATGTATTTGTCAGTTAATACTATCACCAAAGGTAATAAATTAATACATCACACAGTTCTTCAAATGAGGAACAGAAATGAAAGTGATCCCTCGCTCACCATCTTTATCTGCCCAAAACACTTGGATATGACCTTTCAAATGCTTCAATTTGAATTTCTATTAAAAACTTACCAAGTCACAGAACTCAAACACCAGAAGATAGGGAATTGCTTCTACACATTGTCCAACACACTGAAGAACATTTGGATGTTGAAGAATACTGGGGAAAATAAAAAATAAGTATTGCTTATCAGGGAGCATTCTAGTAAAACTGCTCAAATGGTAATCTAAATCTTAACATTCATAATGATTTAAATACGACAAACAAAAGATCACATTAAGATGCTACTTAGTTATCCAATGATTATATAATTCAAAGCCAAACAGGTAAACATTTTTACAAATTAAAAAAGAACTCCTAACAGAATAATTTTTAACCTTCAATAATTTCAGATTAGAGATAACATTCTGAGGCAGCATTTAAAAGAAGGAAGGCAGACTATATACGTGTGTATATATGTGTGTATATACATGTGTGTATTTTATATACACACACACACACAAATGTACAAATTCAAAGGGCATTTTAATCAAGATATTAAATAACTCAGTTTCTTTCAGACTATTTAGCTTATATACTATTTCCATAGTATAAATGAACTCTTTTTAGAAAATATTTTAAAGATAAACAAAAAGTATGCCAAAATTGATTCAAAAATAATTTGTGGACCAGCAGACAGTTTAATGGTTACGTTGCTAGACTCCCACTTGGTCAACTACAGTTTGAGTCCTGGACCTGGCAACTTAAAATTCATGCAGATGCGTGTGCGCCTGTGCCCAAGATCCTGAGAGGGGAATGGAGGAGAAAGGACTGCAGTGTAGCCACCCCCTGGGAGGGTTATTTCTCACTTTCTGTCTGTCTCTGTATCTCTGACAAGTGGTCAGGCTCTATAGCAAAATCTCTCCAAAAAAAAATTATTTTGGGGCCCGTCAGTGGCGTGGTGCTTAAGGTAGCTGGATTCCACGTGACTGAATACTTTTTTTTCCCCTCTTATCTCCTTTCATTCTGAAGTATCTATGATTTAAACATTAGACCTTTTATTATGGTCCCCCATGTCCCTAAACAATTTTTTTGTTGTTGTCTTCAAGTCTATTTTCTCTCTTTTATTAAAATTGCACATTATTTATTGTTCTGTCTTGAAGGTCACTGATTTTTTTCCTTTGAACTCTCCAGTCTACTGCTGAGAGCTCATCCAGTGAGGTTTTTTTTTTTTTCAGTTATTATATATTTAGTTCTAAAGTTTCCATTTAAGTCGTTCTTATGTCTTTTATTTTCTTGCTGAGACTTTTTACTTTTTCATTCGTTTCAAGTGTGCTGTAATGACTATGGAAGCATTTTTATGATAGCTGCTTTAAAATCCTAGTCAGGTGATTCTAACACCTCTGTCATCACAGTGTTAGTACATACTTTCTTTTCTTATTCTAAATTAATTCTCCTGCTTCTTGTAATGTAAGGGATTTTCAACTGAAACCTGGATACTCCAGGTCTTATGAGATTCTAGATTTTATTTAATAATGTATTCTGTAGGCAGAATCTCAAAGTAAACACTTGATTTTCAACAGACCACAGACTGCATTTATAGAACACATGTTAAGGTTTACTTACTAATAAGGTTCTCCATTTTTCAAAAAAGTATCTTCTTCCTTTGGGCTTGCACTTGCTTTCAACTCCTTCACAATGACTCTTGCCACACTAGTACCTGTGTAAGTCTCTCCAAGGAGGACCTAAAGCCAAAGAGCAGTTTTTTGTTGTCACTTTTATTGAAATAATAAAGTAGTATGTTTCATTTACAAGGAAATGAAATACAAGAATACAAATTAATTATAGAGTACAATAGATAGCCTTCTATTAGTTTACAGTTTAACTCGCAAAAAGCTTGGAAAACTCAAATATTTTCATCAACAAATGTGCCACTTTAAACTATTCACCAGATATTTACCTCATTCACATGTTTTCATAAGTTTCTATTTATCTTAAAATGTATTACAATTTCACAGAAATTAGCCATAACATTACAAAAGAGCAACTTGTAAGCACAGTTCAAATATAACTCAAATGTTTTTCAAAAATACTTCAACTAAGTTTTGTTATTTAAACTGCTGCACATATGAGATTGTAAACTGACAGCCAGTACGTAATCACTGCACTGAAACTTTAAAAATCCACAGCATTCCAATGATACCAGGCCTTTATCTCATACCAAAACTTCAGCCAAAACACACAGAAAAAAGCATTCCACTGAAAGTAACAACACAAAATGAACGAGTTACCTCATGTAAGAACTAGCTTCAGGCGAAATATAATAGAGCATGCAAAGGCATTAAAAATGTAATATTTAAGGTGAAATGATGATGAGGTAAAGTTGTTTTTTCTTTTTATAAAAACTTATCAAAAATATGACTTCCTTTTAAAATAGAGCTTTGTTTTTTATTATTATTTTTTAAGAGATTTTTGCTACAGCACGCATGTGCTTGCTAGAGAGACAGAGAGAAAGTGAGAAAGTCTGAGGTATATTAGCTTAGCCAAACCTCACCCCCTAGCCAGGATGGCCATGCTTCAATCCCTTCTCCTCCATTCTCCTCCCAGGATATTGGGCACATACACATATGAGCCCAGCATAAGTTTTAAGCCACCAGGTCTGGGACTTGAACTGAGATCAACTACATGGGAGTCCAGTGATATAACCATTATTCCATCTGCTGGTCCATGTTATTTATTTTTATTTAAATAAAATACATTAATTGTAATGCCCTGGAGTAAGAACCTGAACAGAACTCAATGTGTTTATCAGCAATATAAGGGCAGAAACAAGAAGAGAACAAGAAATTCTAATAATCAACTAGATCATATTCGTTGTTTCAAGTAACTAGCTTATCATACACAGTAAGAATAACAGCAGGCTACTGCAGCAATCTGGCTCCACTTGCTTCTCTTCACCACCATTAACATTCTTGGTTCCCTGGTCATTAGTAGCCGCTGCAGGACAATTTATTTAACACCTGGACCTCCCAGTTCCTTTTTCTCACTTCCAGTCATATTTTCTATGATCTCAGCAACCACTTCCATGGGTCTAGACCTAGCCAATGATTATCTTACATCCAAAGTCTTTTTGGCTTCTCCTTCTCAACTACTCCCTTTACTCCCTGCTCACTTCAACACTCTAACCCAGCAAGCGTCCAACTTGCCCTCCAAGTACATCAATGGTACCCTCCTCCCTATACAGGGCCTTACTCCCTCCCTGGACAGCTCAGAACCTCTGCTCTCCTTTACTATGACCACTCCCTTACCCTGGTCTGAGGTATATTAGCTTAGCCAAACCTCAATGACAGTTAAATTTAACTAGCAGCCTATAAGAAAACACTAAAAGTAGAGAAAAACATACTTGATGGCTGGTTTCATACTAAATGTGTAAGGTTCCTCAGTGCTGCCCACTCTTGACAACTCTTTCACAACTTCTCCTGCTCAAACTTCCAGAATGTCTTTTCACTCCCTTTCAAGTGAGGAATTGGCCCGCTACTCACTGAAAAAATGATCAGAAGTAGCTTCCTCATAAAAAAAGAATTGTTTATTTAATTAATTCCATTTTTTATTGTTATTGTTATTATTTAACCTGACCAGAGTAAGAGAGAAAGGGAAAGTGAGAAAGCAAGTTGCCAGGTCCGGGACTCAAATCATGGTGGTCCATGTGGGAATCTAGCACCTTAACCACCATGCCACCTGTCAGCCCCAAGCTTCCTCATTTTACCTCCACCAAATCCACCTGTACCTATATCTATACCCATCTCTCTCATTTCTTAGCTACTATGTCAAGAGAGAACTATCTCTGCTCTTAAGGCCTCTATCAATTGACCCCTGACCTCCTGTTCACTAAGGACCTTGCTCATAAAACATGCTGAAATAGCTCTTAAAAAATTAAATAAACAAAAATCTCCCTTAGGCCTTATCAATGTTCCCAAACAGGTACAACTCCATTTCTCTGCTCCTTTTTAGAGTAAAATTCCTCCAGCGAGCTGACGCCTCTTTCTCTTGAACCTGTTCCACACAAGGATTTGCTATCACCATACCCCCACACAGCTTCTTTAGAGGGCAGTAAGGACTTCACATTGCTGAATCCTAATTCTCCCAGTTTTCATCTTAATTTGGGAACTGCAGTATTTACTACAATTAATCTTCTTGGAATTCTTTCTGCACCTGACTTTCAGAATACTCCTCTAGCTCCTAGATTTCTGGCTATTCATGTTTGATTCTTCTCAGTTTCCTTCAGGGGTTCTCCCTGGTTATGCTGATTTCTTCCTATTGCAGAGCCTTGGGGTTCAGTCCTTTTGCCTCCTCCTGATCTCCATTTGGAAACTCTTGATGATTTCATCAAATCTCATACTTTTAAATACCATCTTTTTTTTGGGGGGGGAGGGGGACAGATTTTTTGCTATAGGGCACGTACGCTTGCCAGAAAGACAGAGAGAGACAGAGAGACAGAAAGCGAGAAATCACCCCCCAGGGGGGATGGCCACGCTGCAATCCCTTCTCCTCCATTCTCCTCTCAGGATCTTGGGCATGCACGTACACATGCCCGGTGTGAGTTTAAGCCACCAGATCTGGGATTCGAACTGCGGTCGACTACAAGGGAGTCCAGTGCACAGCTATTACGCCAACTGCTGGTCCCTAAATACCATCTTTATACTGAGGCCTCCCAAATGGCTTTCTCTGGCCTGGAACCTTTCTCTTAAACTCCTGATTTGTATTTCCAGTTCCCTACTTGATAACCCCACTTAGATATGTAATCTCATACCTAACATATACATAGGTGAGCTGACTTCCTCCTCCAAGCCTGCCTTCTCTGTTGTTTCCTTACATTTCAGTTGAAGGCAACTCCATTCTTCTAAGTTAATCAGGCCATAAACAGTCATCCTTTACTGCTCTCTTCCTCTAGATTCCTTATGGAATCCATTGTAAGTCCCATATGCTTTGACTGAAAATCTAATCTTGAGTCCACCATTTCTCACCACCTCCACTGCAATCACCAGGGTTCAAAGCCTGCCAGTATCTCTCCCTAGATGATTGCAGTAACCTTCTAATCAAGTTTCTTCCTTTCACCTTGACATTGTACAGGGTCACTGCTAGAGTGATTACTCTAAAAGGTAAGTCTGGGCCAGTCAGTGTGTGGTGAATGGGAAAGCTGGATCCCAATGGCTAACTGCATGGTTGAGTTCCGGACCCAGCATGCTGGAAGGCCATGCTGGTGCATGTGTGTGCATACCCGAAATCCTTAGAAGAATGGAAGAAACTATGGTGTGGCCATCCCCTCTGGGGGGTGCTTGCTAATTTTCCCTCTCTCTGTCTATCTCTAGCAGGCACATGTGCCCTATAGAAAAATTTTTTAAAAGAAAAAAAGGCCAAATTTTGAAATTCTTCACATATATATACATACATACACACATACATATATGTAAGATTATGTCACCCTTCTCTCACCCACCAGAGTACTTTGGAGTAAAAGTCAAGTCTCCAGTAGCACACAGTATCCCACATCATCTGGTTCCCCTAGACCTCTTGTAGCCCTCTCCTATGACTGACTGGTTTTTTACAATCAGTGAACACTTTTTTGACTGACTCTCCCAACTAGAAGTTTAGGTAGGGTGATGACAAGGATTCTATCTTTGCTGCTATATTCTCAGCTACTACATTCATAGCCTGGGACTCTACCCATCTTGCTCCACGTCACACCCCTAGCACCAAGACTAATGTCTGATACATATTAGGTTATGCTAAATGGCTTAAAAAATGTAGTAATTAATGAAGTTTGGAAGATATTACTGACAGCTAAATCTGGATGGGAAAATGAGAAGCATAAGATGGTTGGCTACAAAGTAAAATGCATCTTCTCACCTTAAACTTCCACTTATGATACAAGTATTAAGTAACTATAAACCTTACAGGGAATGACTGCTACTCTGTGCAAATAGTTGTGTAAGATTATCCCCTCTGAACTATCTAAGGTAAAAAGATCAACAAAGCACTGTTACTACAGGTCACCTGCCAGGCTACAAGAAATAAGGACAGTTCTTTACAAGGACTTTCATTTAAATAAGACTCTATATTTCTAAAGTAGTTTAAGTCCTGTACGGACAAAGAGGAAAAGAAATAAGGGAGATAGGAAATAAGGGGGAGAAGAAAAAAACAAAATTCTTTAACTGGAGGAAGATTAAAAGCTTCTAAAATACTGTTCTTATGTTAACAATGATAAAAGTCTCAGATACAATTAAAAAAAGACCTTTGCTATGATCTGAATTTTTGTGTTCCCTCACCTCCAAATTCTTATATTGAAACCTACTCATCACTGTGACAGTATTAGGAGGTGGGACCCTTGGGAGAAAATGGGATTACTATCCTTATTAAAGAGGCTCCAGAGAGCAGCCCTGCTTCTTCTACCATGTGAGAATACAGCAAAATGTCACTTATGAACAAGAAAGCAGGCCTTCACCAGATGCTAAATCAACCATTGTCTTGATCTTAGACCTTCTCAGTCTCCAGGATTGTGAGAAATAAATTTCTATTGTTTTTAAAGCACCCAGTTTAGGGTATCTTGTTACAGCAGCTTGAGTGGACTAAGATAACCTTCCTGGAAAAAGTTACACAGCCAGGGTTGTTGCATTCCAGGCAGATGTAGAGGACCACAGGGAAATTCAATTAGTGCTATGCTGCCTACAGAGAATGATGAATGCCACACAACACAATTCTTGATCGATTTTAAATTCTAAACGGTATAATTAGGAAGGGAAAAAATGAAAGCAAAGAATATTTTACCTTTCCAAACCAGCCATTTCCAATTTCCTGTATATAGTTTAGACTGTGGCGTGCAACTTGAGACTTCAAACCTTCTGGAGTGAAAAGAACATTAAAAATTAAATATAAATACCTAACTAAAATAAGTATTAAATACATGACATATAAAGTACAAACACCAACATAAATTTAACGCTTATGCTAATAAAGGAAGAATTAAATACATAAAACGTCTCTTCCAAAGTAATGCCAAAACAGTTTCAAGTTTTAAAACTGATCATATTTTTAAAAAATTTATGGGGCCAGTAAGTGGCATAGTGGTTATATCACTGGACTCTCACATGGCTGACAACGCTTCAAGTCCTGGTCCCAGTGGCTTGAAACTCACGCCAGGTGTGTGTATGTGCCTAAGATCTGGAAAGAAGAGTGGAGAAAGGATTGTGGCATGGCCATTCTCCCCACTCCCCCGGCCCTGGCGTTGATTTTTCACTTTTCCTTTCACTGTCTCTTTCTTTCTCCCCAGCAAGGACACACGTCCTGAGGCAAAAACCTCTACAAAAGTAGTAACAATAAAATTTTTTTAAATAAAAATTTATTTCAAGCCAGCTGTTAGCATGGTAGTTAAGGTGGCTGATCCAACATGACTGACAGCCTGGTTCAAATCTTGAATTTGTGGCTTGAAAAACACACTGGGTGCATGTGCATGCATGCCCAAAATCCCAAGAGGAAAAATGGAAGAAAACAGATTGTGGCATGCACATCCCCAATGTACAGGATCCTTTCTCGCTTTCCCTCTCTCCCCAGCAAGCATGTGTGCCCTCTGGCCAATTTAAAAAATTTCAAAAATTAATTATTGGCATAATGGTTACATTGCTGGACTCCCATGTAGCTGACTGCAGTTCAAGTCGCAGACCCAGTGGGTGCATGTGCATGCATGCCCAAAACCCCGAGAGAAGAATGTATGAGAAGGGACTGTGGCATGGCCCTCCCCCATGAGGGTTATTTTTCACTTTCTGTCTCTCCATCTCTTCAGTGCATGCACACATCCTACAGCAAAAATCTCTCTTAAAAAAAGTATATATTTCTTCCATGAGAGAGACACAGAGAGAGAGAGAGAGAGAGCAACAGACAGCCAGCCAGAAAGACAGAATCCCCTGGCAGAGCCTTCACAATGCACCCACACAACCAGAATGCACATGAAACCTTGGGGTGCAAACCCAGGACCTTCCCATATGGCCTCAGCATCATCACTGTACCACTAGCCAAAACTGGTAATTTTTTAATAAATATGCTACTGTAATTCTTCATACCTTGTTACTGTTTTCCAATGGATGGCCTTCATTTAGTCCTTTTATTTATTTTTTTTTTCTCTCTAGTAGTTTACCTGGCTATAGTATTAGTCTACTCTCCCTTACCCTTTTAAAAATGGCTTTCTTGAGATGTAACTGATACACAATGAGAATATTTAAAGTATATAATTTGATATATTTTGATGTATGTATGTGCCTGTGAAACCATCACTATGATAAAATACGAACACCCCATCACTTCCAAGAATCATTGCATGCCCCTTTGTAATCCCTCCCTCCTGTCCTCACCTCTAAACAAGTATCCATGTTTTCTAACATATAATTTTCTACCATTTATGAAACTGGAATCATACAGTATGCTTATATAAATTACCTTAAGAATCAACCAAGTTTTGGGACCAGCAGTTAGCATAATGGCTATGTCACTGAACTCCCATGTAGTTGACTGTGGATTGAGTCCCAGACCCGGTGGCTTAAACTCATGCTGGGCACGTGTGCATGCATACCCAAGACCTCGAGGAGAATGGAGGATAAGGGATTGCGGCGTGGCCATCCCCCCTGGGGGGTGATTTCTCACTTTCTGTCTCTCTGTCTTTCTGGTGAGCACACACGCCCTGTAGCAAAAACCTCTCCAAAAAAAAAAAAAAAAGAATCAACCAAGTTTTTACAGGTAACAAGAGTTGTTTTGTTTTGTTTTGAATCACCAAAGAGTTTTCTACTGAACAGATAATACCGCTGCTTGTTTATTCATGGTTAATAGACATCTATATTGTTTACAGGTTGGGGCTATCACAGAGTTGCTAAGAACACTTGTTTACAAGTCTTTGTATGGACATATGCTTTCATTTCTCTTGAATAAATAAGAAGTAGAATGGCCAGATCATATAGAGGTGCATATTTAACTTTTGAAGAAGCTCTCAATTACTTTTCACGTGAACACTATAAAACAGAAGACATAGGGGCAAACCTACATGACCTTGGAATTGGCAATGGCTTCTTAAATATGATATCAAAAGCACAAACGGCAACAACAACAACAATAACAATTAACTGGACTTCATCAAAACTAAGAACATTTCAGGCCAGCAAATGGCTTGGTGGTTAAGGCAGCTGGATATCATAGGTCCAACTACACAGCTGGGTCCCAGACTTGGCAGCCTGAAAGACACACCAGCATGTGTGCGTGCACACCCAAAATCCCAAAAGGAGAAATGCTGGAGGAGAAGAGATTGCTGCATGGCCATCCTTCATGGTGGGTGCTTTCTTGCTTTCTCCATCTCTCTCTGGCAAGTGCACACACCCTCGACATTTAAAAAAAAGGAAAAAATATCTAAAAATGTTATGTATGAAAGGACACTGTGAATACAGAGTGAAAAAAGAATCCACAGGATGCAAGAAAATATTAAGTTGTTGGGAAAGTCATGACATATTTTTCTATAATTTTCCTATGCAAAAATGCATCATGACTCTCCTGATAACCTGATATTTACAAATGTGTACATTATATTATGAAGCTATTATAATTAAGACAGTGGTCCTGGGACAAGGAATATACGAATTAAAACAAGATAATTAATGATGCGGCCGGCAGGTGGTGTGGTGGTTAAGGCGCTGGACTCCCACATGGCCGACTGATTCGGACCTGGTGGTTTGCTTTCTCATTCCTCCCCTCCCCCTCTCTCACTCTGTCCCTCTCTGGTCAAATTAAAAAATAAATAAGTAAATAAATAAAATTAAATAAAATCATTTTTAAAAAAACAACAACAAATTAAGTAGTGAAAGAGAATAAAGGGCCAGGAGGCACCGTGGAGGTTAAGGCAGCTGTATCCCACATGGCTGACTCTGCGGTTTAAGTCCTGAACTCGGGAGGCTTGAAAATTATGCTGAGTGCATGTGTATGTATGCCCAGCATCCTGAGAGGAGAATGGAAGAGAAAGGATTGTAGCATAGTCATAGCCTCTGGAGGGTGATTTCTCATTTTTCTTCTTTCTCTCTCTGTCCCTAAAACAGACCCATACACATACAGAAGTAGAGAAGAAAGAAGGATCAATGAATGAATGAAGCTGAAAAAATAAAAAGCAATCTATATAGAAAACTGAACTTGGATTTCCTCCCAATATTATACTCGAAAATCAACTCAAGATGGGTTATGATTTAATAAGTAAAACCTTAAAACATTTTTAAAAGGAGTATTATTTGGGTTACAGTACAAGGAAAAACTTTTTTAAAAAATTATTTTTAATTGACATGGAACAACTATACATATTTATGAGCTACCATGTGACTTTTCAATATATGTAATGATCAAATTAGGGTAATTAGCATATCTATCATCTCAAATACTTATCAATTCTTTTGTGTTAAAAATCATTAAAAATCCTCTCTTCTAGATATTTTGAAATGTACGGTTTTTTTTTTGAGAGAGAGAGATATTATGTTTTTTTGGCTATAGGGTGCATGCACTTGCTGGAGAGACAGACAGAAAGTGAGAAATCACTCCCATGGGGGATAGCCACGTTGCGATCCCTTCTTCTCTGGGATTTCAGGCACGCACGCACGTGCACCTAGCGCTGAGTTTCAAGCCACTGGGTTTGATACTTGAATCGTGGTTGGCCATGTGGGAGTCCAACCATTATGCCATCTGCTGGTCCCGTAATAGATTGTTATTAACTATAGTCATCCTATTGTACTGTAGAGCACTAGGATTTATTCTTCCTATCTACCTGTACTTTTGTATCCATTAACCACTCTCTCTCCTTAATCTCTCTTTCTCTCTTCCCCCTCTTGGCACGAGAGAGAGAGAGAGAGAGTGAGATCAAAAGCAAGCTGCCAGGTCTGGGACTTGAACCGTAGTCAGCCATGTGGGAGTCCAGTGCCCTTAACCACATCACCTGCCAGCCCCAAGGTCAATTTTTTTTTTAACCTTTAGGGAAGGAGGGATTTTTTGTTTGGTTGGTTTTTGTTTTTTAATTTGCTAGAGGATGCTTGCACTAGCTGGGGAGACAGAGAGAGAGAAAAGGAAAGTGAGAAACCAACCCCAGAGGGGAATGAATAGGCTGCCAACCCTTCTCCATTTCTCCTTTCAGGATTTTGGGCACACACACACGTATGTCAGTGTGTTTTTCAAGCTGCTGGATCCAAACCTTAAACTACTCACTCAATCAGCCATGTGGGATCCAGTCACCTCAACCACCACACCACGCCACTAGCTAGCCAGGGAAAAAAAAAAAACAACCCCAACTCTAAAAATGACTGTTAAATTTTGAACTCTAAAAATGACTTAAATTGGTTATACTAAAATTAGGAACCCTGTTCATCAAAAAAAAAAAAAAATCCTTTTTTGTGTGTGTATGATTGATTTTTTTTAAAGCATACCATTCTGATTCCCTCTCATTTCCTTTTCTATATTTTTTTAGTGGTTACCATGGGGATTACAGTTAACATCCTAAATTTATAACAGTTTGAACTGATACCAACTTAGCTTCAAAAGTAATAGCATATACCACTTGACATTCAACTGGCAGGAATATAAATTGGTACAATTCCTTTGGAAGGTAAATTGGTAATGTCCATCAAGATTATAAATGAACACCCTTTGTCCCACTTTACAAGTTTTATTCTACGAATATACCAGCACAACAACATGCAAAACAATACAGGTACAAGCTTTATTTTGTTTTATTTTTGTTTTGTCTAGGCTGGCCTTGAACTTGAAATTTTGCTGCGTTGGCCTTTTAAGTAGCTAGGATTATGGGCGTGAGCTACTGTGCCCAGCCACAAGCTTTATTTTTAATAACATAAGCTTAGAAACAACTTGGGCCAGTAGGTGGCATGATGAGTAAGGTGCTAGAGCCCCACATGGCCAACTCCAGTTAAAAGTCCCAGACCTGGAGCTTTGAAATCACGCCAAGCACTTGTGTGTGTGTGTGTGTGTGCCCAACATTCCAGATAAAAAATGAGAAGATGGTGGAGTGGTCATCTCCCTAGAGGATGATTTTTCATTCTCCCTCTCACTATCTGTCTGTCTCTCTCTTTCCAGAACACATGCACCCTAAAGAAAAATCTTTAAAAATAAAGATTAGAAACAACTTAAGTATCTATAAACCATACTCATCTGTCAGTATTCAATGCAGAGAAACTTAAAATTATTTATTCCCATTTTTTTTCAAGTTTATTTATATATCTGACAGAGAGAGAGAGAGAGAAAGACCCTAAACAGCACCTTACCACACATTCCATTACCTTCCAACTAACCAGGATCACAGTTGCATCTACCACATTCCAGTCGACCCAAGATCCAAACCCTGGGCCTTCCATCTGGCTCCATTAACGTACAGCAGTGCCCTACCACCTCTGCCACTATGGGTGTACTGATTTCTTATTATTTACAGGGACTTTAGAATATAGAGCCTCAGTGAACAGCAAAGGGCATGTATATAAACAAAACTAGGATGGCTGCCCAGGTCACTACAATTTCTCTCAGGCCCAAGTCTGCCTGTGCTCTCATCCATCCCAATATATCTTAAAGAGAAGCTGCTGGTTTCTTGTCTGTCCTCATGTTCCTGCCTATAGTGATGGTTCTTGATCATGTGACTCAGGTGAGGCCACCCAGAATGCCTCACCAAGGTTTTTCTTTCTGATCTTTTCCTCTCTAGTTGTAAAACTACAAGGATAAGGACCTGGGGTTGCTAGCATTATGCTTCCCACTGAGGAGAGAAGCCATTTGAGAGAGTAAGAAGACATGTGAAAAGAAAAACTGAGGAGTCACTGTAAAATTCCGACAGGGTTCAAGGCCCTGACTCCAACTACCTCTAAGGTCAGCATCACCCCTACTCCTTCCATGGTCTGGGTCTATGTGTCAGAAAATGCCCTTTTCTATTCCTGTTTACCTGAGTTTAGAGTCTGCTAATTACAATTAATTAAAGAGTTTGGGAGTATATGCCTATGAAAGTCCTGAGAAGAATCTCAGGGCTTTCCTTAAGTAAAAGGGAAAAGAAACGATCAAATAAGCAATGATAGAACAGGGTATGTTAGACTTCTTTCTTTCTTTTTTAAAGAGGTACAATACAGGTACAAGCTTTATTTTGTAAATAAAATATATTCGCCAGAGAGAGAAAGTGACAGAGAGACAGAAAGCAAGAAATCACCCCCTAGGGGATGGCCACACCGCAATCCCTTCTCCTCCATTCTCCTCTCGGGATTCTGCACATACATGTGCCTGGTGTGAGTTTTAAGCCACCAGTCTGGGACATGAACCATAGTCAAACTACATAGGGGTCCAGCGATAAAACTATTACACCATCTGCTAATCCCTAAACTCCTTTCAAACTTCACTGTTTTTACTGAAGTAATTTACAGGAATTAAAGGTAAATATATGTCTTGTCTTTTTTTTTTGAGATGTTTTTGCTATAGGGTGCGTGTGCTTGCCATAAAGAAAGAGAGACATAGAGACAGAAAGTGAGAAATCACCCCCCAGGGGGGATGGTCACGCCGCAATCCCTTCTCCTCCATTCTCCTCTCGGGATCTTGGGCACACACGCACACGCGCCCAGAGTGAGTTTAAGCTACCGAACCATGGTTGACTACATGGGAGTTCAGTAACATAGCCATTACACCAACTGCAATCCCAATATATGTCATTTTTAAAACATTGCAAAATCCACAAATAATAAATAGACCTTACTTTACAAATAATGGTGTATAAAATGCATCAACTGTGTCATGTTTTATATTTCTTTTTCCTTTCAGTCATGCATGCCTACAGTAAATATAATCAACTCTTGGGTTTACGCTGCCCTAAACAAACCCCACAAAGTATACAGTACCATAAAAGGCAGGCTTAGCACCTAAAAAGACATATAACCTTCTTTTAGCAGTCTTTAAAACCCTACCTTCTTGAACCACCAGCCCTATTCTATTTTATAACAAGAAATTAATTAGCATCTGTTTAAAGATCTATCTTAAGAAGCTTATGAATAGTCAAACTGATTAACATTATCCAAATATACCTCTCTTCCCCAAATGCAGGATAACCAGGTAGAAGGTAACAATGTCTACTGAGCAAAACAAGCAGTGTCTGGCCTAGAAGAGAAACCAGCATACCAAACAAGAGCCAAAAGCTCTGTTTAAATATTCTATTTCATAATCAAGCAGACCAGTTTTATTCTTACACCAGACCCAGGCTCCAGAAAAAAAAAACACTGGACTTTTACAGGAATGAATGGACCTGACCACTAGGACTCAGCTTCATGGGAGCTCTTTCTTCCTAAAGGCAGGAAGAGAAAGAAAAAAGCAAAGAAGGATCTGGAAAATTCTAATATATTAAGATAGCAGCAAGGTTCCCATTTTTACTTCTAAAAAATAATTAATGAAAATAATGACATTAGGATGTAAGGCCTTACCTACAGAAGGCTGGAATTGTGATGGAGCTGGTAATGAAATATTTGGTACTGAAAGTGTGAAGACCTCTGCTGGGGACTGAACAGAGGGAGTATCTTCTGCTGGTGGTGTGAAATCTATCTCGTCATCAAAATTATCTTCAAATTCCTATAATCAAAGAAAGCAAATTTAAAACCATTAGGTAACACTTATACACTGATTTGGAACATGCTGTTGTAGCTTCCCCCCACCCAAATTTATACTTACAAGTAACAAGCATTTGAATTGTGTTATCCAATCCCAAACAGCAGAAACAATATTTGAAAATAAACTACACATATTTATATGCCTTTTTAAAGCATTTGAAGTTATATGCAAAATTTTTCTGTAATGACTTTGCAACTTAACATGGAAATATTCTTCTTATGCAAAAGTTTACTCTGAAATGACTACGGTTTAAAGCAATTCTTTTAAAATTATTTGCTTACACAAATTTCTTTGCATTGAATCAAAGCAAATTTATTTTTTAATTATATGTGCATTTGTAATTGCAATATGATTTCTATCAAAATGAAGACTGTTAAAAAAGTCAAAACACATTTTTTTAAAGAATTATTTTATTCAACTTCATTTATTTATCATTTATGTCATATTAATTTGGCCGGAGAGGGAGGGAGAGAGAGAGAAAGTGAGAAAGCAAGCCTCCAGGTCTGGGACTCGAACCACATTCAGCCATGTGGGAGCCCAGCACTCTTAACCACCACGCCACCTGCCACCCCCCCCCCAGAATAAATATTTTTAAATTGGGTCTTATTTCTCTGAAAAGAGCAACAATGAAAAAATTACTAAACTGATTAGAAAAATCACTCAACTCTGAAGCAGGAAGGTCAGTATCAAACTATGTAGCACCTAAGCATAATCAACACACAACTCTTATTTCTAAGGGTGACAACTTTAAAGCTGAGGATGCACCAATAAACTGTGGGCACCTTTCAAATGATTCTTTGGTAGAAAACGATCTGGATTCTCTCTGCCGTCATCCTAATGAATTGAGTGTACCGTAATGTCCATGTTTATTTAACAAAGATACACATGAAATCATTCATTCATTCATTTATTCATATAACTAACAAGTATCACTTCTTTAGAGACCTTAATAGAAGCTGAGAATAGATCAGTGAACAAGACTGTTTTCCATTTTTCTGTGAACATTCTTCTTTTCATTTTTCACTTCTACCAACTCCCCTTAACTCCTATCAAATACAAGAAAGAAACTAATAGTAATAATGGTACTTCTGTAACATTCATAGTTACACATGCATGTAAGAAGATGTTATTTTCCTATATGTCATCTATGTTCCTAAATACATTAAAGAAAAGCATTACTATTTGTATGGAGGTAAGGGGCAACGGAAGAATGAGGTACTAAAACCTCACTTTGTGAGGGCCCTTCTGAAGAGTAGAATTGTTCAATTTTCCTTTTGCATATTCCAAAAGGTTTTCTCAGTAAAGACTGTTCATCACTCCTGCCTAAAAAATACTACTCAAAACTTGGCAGCAACATGATATAATACTAGATATAGCAGCAGATGATTCTAAAGATTCAGAGAGGTAATACAATATAATAAGAAAAATGTGGACCTGCCAGAGGGGTGATGGTGGAGGCAGCTGGATCCCATGTGGCTGACTTCATCAGTCCCTGACCTGGCAGCTTGATGGACACACCAGGCACATGTGCCTGCATGCCCCAAAATTCCATGAGAATCAAGGGGAAGGGATTATGGCATGGCTGTCCCCTCTGAGGGGAGTTTTCTCACTTTTTCTCTTTCTCTTCCTCTGTCTGTTGAGCACATGTGCCTTAAGACAAATTTTAAAAAGAAAGAAAAATAAGATAAGACTGAGTCACTTTTTTTGTTGGAGATTATGGTGTCAGAATCACCTGGGGAAGCTTGATAACAAGACAGATTCCAGGGTCCTGCCTTGGATCTGCATCATAATAAACTCCTTCATTCAATACGGAGATTCAAGAAGGTTACAACAAGGAAGGCAAGAATGAGGTATCATGAAATGTGAGATAGAAACTGAACTTCAGTATCAGCAACATGATCAGACTTTGTCCTGAAATGGCCAGGTTTCTGTGCAAAGTGTCTCAGCAAGACTGCCAGTCAAGGGATACAGATTCTCTTCCACCAACTGTGCCCTGAGTAGTTTAGTCACCAACTCCCCATAAAGTGTGTGCAGTGATTGTACAGTTTAGGGGCTGACATCGTGAATAAAGCCCTATAGGCCTGAGGCCAAATCTCCTCAAGAAAATGACCCTTTTCCTACCACCTTCCTCTGTTCTTGGCCTTACATGGGGCTAATGCTTGGTGAGTCACGAGGATGGTACCTCTCCTTATCTCCTAAGTGGGGCCACCGGACTCAAGGTAAAAAGAACAGAGAACAACAGGAATAAGCTTCTAGAAGTCAGGTCCACATGTCCAGTGAAAAGAAGATCCTTAGAAGACCACTTTCTTCTTTTCTCAATTTCTTCTTTTTAATTATTATTTTATTTAACTTTATCATCATCATCATCATTATTTTCTAGTATGATCAGAGAGAAAAAAAGAGGGAGGGAAGGTGAGAAAGCAAGCCACCAGGTCTGGGACTTGAACCATGGTCAGCCATATGGAAGTCCAGAACCTTTAACCACCACACACACCCCTTGCTGGCCCCTCTTTTCTCAATTTCAATCAGTGGCCCTCAGGACTTCTGGGCTAGCCCTAGCACAGTTAGTAGGGCTTTAAGAGACTATTTTCTCTGCAAGCATATATGTATGTGTGTGTGTGTGTGTGTGTGTATACACACACACACACACACACACACACACACACACACACACACACACACACACACACACACACACACACACACATATATATATAATTTTTCCAGTTGTGTATTCCTTTTTAACATGTATTTTTTGAGCCCTAATACATGCCAGTAGGCATGAAGCAAATTCGACAGCAGGCATGTAGCAAATTTTAGAACAGGGTTTCCCAGCTGGCTTAATGGTAGATTAAGCTTAATTGCTGCTGCAATGCCAGCCCATCTCTACTATCCCTCTCTGGCCAGGATTTTACAATCAGCAGCATTATTCTCCCTTTTGGGGAACTCAATTTCAAGGTAAACCTGAGGTTTCAATGCTCCTCCTCATACACAAAACACTGGGAGTCCCCTCTGTCTCAGTAATCTTTACAACCAAAATTTCACTAGCCTACAGAAGTTTGGGTAAACGAAGATAACAAAACCAGTCTGCTCTTCCTTGCAAGCCTTATGGCAAGTAAATTCAATCATCATGCGTTATTCCTCACCTAGCAAAAACAGAAATTCACCAAATTGGAGCATGGGATAAATCCAAGCCACCTACTTTTGTAAATAAAGTTTTACTGGCAAAAAGCCATGACCATTAGTTACGACAGTGTCTACCACTGATGTAGCACTAGCACGGCAGAGCTGAGAACTGAGTAGTTGTTTAGAGACTGGCTGGTTCACAGATTTACTATTTACTATGACAACAGTCACTATCTGGACCTTACAGAAAAGATTTTCCAAACCCTGTTGCCAAGGGACTATGACATTCAGCTTTCTATTGATAAACATTTAAGAAGACAATTTTAAATATTTCTCCATCTGTGCTCACCTTAAAGTCTATTTCTGGGTCCTTACAGCAGGATACACAGTTTGCAATTAACACGATTAATACCATTAAACTGCACACAGATAGGATCACAAAAGATGAAGAAACTTCTGCAGCAGGTGCCTCTCCTGGAAAGAGAGATAAATAATATTAAAAACATGTACACTGCAAGTCAACTTCAATTAATACCCCAATATATTTTCCTCTAGAAATAAATGAGACAAAGGGTTAATAAAATGTTTAATTGCTCATGATAAAACTGGTAACCAACTTAGTCATCAGATTTTTAAATCTTTATTTTGAAATAATCTTACATTTATGGAAGAATTGTAGAGACAAAACAGAGTTCCCATATACACTATGCACAGCTTCCATTAATGTTGACATCTTACATTGCCGTGGTTTATTTAGTAAAACTGGGATAATAACATGGTACGATACTATTAACTGAACTTGGATTTTACTGTTTTCTCCACTGAAGTTCTTTTCTGGGATTCATTCCAAGCTACTAACATTACATTTAATCCTGCTCAGTAACTATCACCAACCTCTGACTTGTTTCTCAGTCTTCCAATGTTTCAGAACATTGACCTTTTCACAACTTTTGAAGAGTATTGATCAGTTATTTTGTGTAATGTCCCTCAACATGGGTTACTTGATGTTTGCTCAGGATTAGACTGAAGATAGTTAGGAAGAATCTAGAATACCACAAGGGTAAACGGTCTTGCTCCTGGTATCACATCAGCGGAACATGACTTACTCCTGGTTAAGGTGAGTTTTGATCACATGACTGGTTTCTGCCAGGTCTTACCACGCAAAGTCACCACTTCTCCTTTATACAACCTACTCCTTAAGAGTGAGTCACAAAGTCCACTGCATACAAACAGGGGAAGGAATTAAGTTGTACTTCCTAGAGGAAAGAATGTTAAAGCATTTGTAGACTTATGTTAAAAACATGAGAGTAATTAATAAATATTTGGGGGAGATACTTTGAGGCTATGCAAATACTCTGTCTCTCAATGTTTTGCACACCAATTTTCACATGTCAGCACACCTTGCCTACAAGCAATTAATACTGTGATATTTTAATGATGATTTCCCTCATTCCTTCTACATTTCTTTTTTCTGCCAGAGGTGCATGTGCTTCCCAGAGACAGACAGAGAGACAAAGCACGCCCCAGTAGGGCATGGTCACGCTGCAATCTTTTCTTCCTTCATTTCTCCATGCTTTCAGGATTTGGGAACGCAACATACGCATGCCCAGTGTATTTTTCAAGCCACTAGGGCTGGGATCTGCACCATAGCCCACCACGTGGGGTCCTACTCCCAAAGCACAGCACTTATTCTCTGCACTACAGGACCAGCCCTTGAACCTTTTCCCTGTTGAAACACAGTTAAGTCTCAGCTACTGAAGCTTTACTAAGAAAGAAACTTTTCTTTAAAATTCTTATCTATGGATAAGTTTTCAAATGTATCAAAGGGAAGGCAGAAAGACAAGCTAATAATGCCACTATTTTTTTCTTAACTGAAGCTATAGTATTTGAAGAAAAGAAAAATTAACCCAAACTCTTCTATGAGCAAAAACATATTCTTCAGTGTAAACCACCTCAGTGAACATTAGGAAAGCCTACCATGAGCTGCGAGTAGGACTAAGCTCTTTTGCAATGATGAAAGATCTGTCTGTGAAAGCAGCGCTGAAGCACCATTGTTACAAGTAGGAGTCAGCCTCCAGTGGAAATCTTCCTTAAGTCTGTGTTTAAGAATAATAGTTAGCATAATGGCTATTCACAGGACTCCCATGTAGTCAACTGTGGTTTGAGTCCCGAACCCAGTGGCTTAAACTCACACCAGGCGCGTGTTCATGAGCGCCCAAGATCCCGAGAGGATTGCAGCGTAGCCATCCCCCCTGGGAGGTGATTTTTTGCTTTCTGTCTGTCTCTCACTGTCTTTCTGGCAAGCGTACACGCCCTATAGCAAAAACCTCTCCAAAAAAAAAATAAATAAATAATAGTTAACCAAGGGTCACTAAGAACCTACAAGTTCTAAATCAACCAAGTCAAAAACAAAGTACAAACGAGATAACTTGTTAATTCCTCTCAAAACCAATCTAGAGAAATCTACCTTAAGAATGAGAATTCTCCTACTGGGTTGTTGGGAAAGTCATGACACATTTTTGCATAGAAAAACATGTCATGACTTTCCTGACAACCTAGTATATACAGACTTGCAAACACTTGGAAGACTAAAGCGAGAAGCCCTGGCCACTGAAAGACATTTTTCTAAGAGATCACTTCCTTCTCTTGCCCTCTGCAACTATCTGCTCTCTAATCCAGTTTGGCCTGTGCTTCCTGGCTGGCACCTATCCTTAATAACTCTACTCACTCCCCCACTCACATAGTAACAATTAAATAAGACTCCCGGGGATTATATAGCAGCCCACTTTCACATACACTGTATCTTACTTTTTTTTCCTTCCTTTTTTAGTTTTTTTTGCCATAGGGCACATGGCACTCTAGGGGAGGGAGTGGGGGGGAGAGAGAGAGAGAAAGAGAGAGGGAGAAGGCGAGAGAGGAAAAGTAAAAAGTCACCCCCTGGGGGGATGGCCACACCACAATCCCTTCTCCTCCATTCTCCTCTTGGGATTTTGGCACACACACATGTGTCTGGCATAAATTTTAAGCTACCAGGTCTAGGACTCGAACCATGGTGGGCCATGTGGGAGTCTAGCGTCTTTTAAGAGCTTCTTACACTTGAAACGAAGTTATTAACAGTTTAATTGGTGGCATTTCTTCTTTTTAATGATACAAGAAAAGGGCATGACATACAATCAATTGTATCTGAGACACAGTATCTCTTGGGTAATAAAACAGATAAAGAAAATGATTTGTCTAGGTACCCCAGGTGGGGAAGTGGCAGAAATGGACTCCAACTTCTGATTCTGAAACAAAAAAAAATCTTTCCTTGATTCCACAATGTTCTGTCGTAACACAGTTAACTTTTAACACCTAAAAACAGCCTGGTGTACTTTGAACTTGAGCCTAGCACTGCTAATTAAGTCAGTTTATATTTCTGAAGCTCTGCTCCCAATTCCACAAAGCCGGTATGTTAAGTTAGTTTTTCATTTCTTCTCACCCATAGTTTTGTTTAATCATCACACACTATCTATTTATTATAAAACTGGATCAGGACTGCCCAAAGGCCAGCCCAATTATCAGATTCATGAAACTATCTTCCGTGAGTCATTGGGGAGACATGAAAAACCATACCCATGTGAAAAACAAAGAGCTATGCCAATTTTTTCCTACCTTTACACAGTACTTATTTCTATTATGAGACTGTGGTAGGTATCTGCTCTCTCTTACTAGATTTCCTCAATGTACACGTGTATTCAACCTCAATGTCGCAGTCCCATAACAAAAAAGAAAGAAATCACTACCTGTAAGATTTACTAGGTAGTCTCAAGTAGACATCGTTACAGCTACCACTTCTAAAAGCTATCGTATTTTTCTTTTAATCAGTCCAAACCACAATACTTTAAGCAACTCTTATGAACCCCTGACAGAAAAACTTGCATAAAATGAGAAATCAAACCACAGGCTAGTAAGGTGGTTTACACAAACCACAGAAAGGAAGTAAATTCTAGACATGAGGAACCACAACTGAAATCCCCAGGCTCTGATAGTCAACCTAGAAGCCAAGCCCCGAGAAGAGTCCTGAGTGCAACTGTTAGAAAACTATGAAGGGAGGTAGTTTTCCTCTAACATTCTCAATCTACAGTGTTCAGGGGGGATGAAGAAATCAAACCAAACACTAATAAAGAAACCCACCAATCGAGAATGACAGGAGTGTTGCTATACATTTAGGCACCCTCACCAATTCCAAACCAAGAACAAGCAGGCTTCCCCAAGACACTGATTTAGAAACACTTGGCATCTCTATAGCACATTCTGTTGAGTTTTTATTTTATAGTTTCCAAAGCATTTTAATGGTTATCTAGCACTTGATTTAATAAGCAGAAAACTTGAGAAACTAAGAGGGAAGTACATATTATCTGTTTTACAGACAGGTAATTTGGAGAATGCAATTTCTCCATAATGACTCAGAGCAACTCAAATGTAGGACCTGACTATTAACTCAAGCATTATAAATCCAGCCCAATTATCCAAATCATGATACCTGGAACTAGCAATAGAACTTGGACACATATGTAATTAACTAAAGAGTTGCCTGAGAATTTATTTTTGGATTAAACTTAAAAATCTGGGAACCAGCAGATGGTGTAATGATTACGCTGCTGGATTCCCACGGAGTTGATTGCAGTTCGAGTCCCAGACTCGGGGGCTTAAAACTCACTCTGGGCACGTGTGTATGCATGCCCAAAATCCTGAGAGGAGAACAGAGAAGCAACTGCAGCATGGCCATCACCCCTGGGGGGGAGGGGGTAGATTTCTTGCTTTCTTGTTTTCTGTCTCTCTGGTGAGCACACATGGCCTAAGAAAAAAATCTCTCTTAAAAAAAAAAAAAATTCTAAAGGTTCACAGGTATAAAGAAATGATGATCGACATTTAGATATATTAGGGATTACAAAATACTGATAATTATAATTTTGTCATTCCTTTTTTAAATTAATTCAATTTTTATTTATTCATTCATTTATTTTAATTTGACCAGATACACACACACACACACACACACACACACACACACATACGGAGAGAAATCAAGCCACCAGGTCAGGGACTCAAACCATGGTTGGCCATGTAGGAGTGTCCAGGACCTTAATCACCCCACCTGCTGGTCCCATTGTCATTCCTTGAGTTTCATTGTCATTCTGGCTGATACACTGTTAAAAAGAGAAGTTTCCTGGAACCAGCAGATGGCATAACAGTTATATATCGCTGGACTCTCTTGTAGGTGACCATGGTTCAAGTCCTGAACCCAGCAGTTTAAAACACACACTGGGCACGTATGCATGCATGCTAAAAATCCCAAAAGGAGAATGGAGGAGAAGGGACTGCAGCATGGCCATCCCCACTGGGGGTGATTTCTCACTTTCTGTTTCTCTCTGTATGTCTGATGATCACACACATCCTATTTAAAAAATCTCTCTCCAGGGACCAGCAGTTAGCGTAATAGCTATGTCACTGGACTCCCATGTAGTCGACCACGGTTCAAGTCCCGGGCCCAGTGGCTTAAACTCACGCCGGGCACCTGTGCGTGCGTGCCCAAGATCCCGAGAGGAGAATGGAGGAGAAGGGATTGTGGCGTAGCCATCCCCCCTGGGGGGTGATTTCTCGCTTTCTGTCTCTGTCTCTCTCTGTCTGTCTGGCGAGCGCACGCGCCCTATAGCAAAAAAAGAAACCTCTCCAAAAAAAGAAAAAAAAAATCTCTAAGAGAGAGAGAGAGAGAAGTTTCCTTATTTTTATTATTTAGTTTTACCCAGAGGTTCAAGTAATAAGAGAACGAGGGAGGCTACATATTGAAATCCTCTTCAACATTTTTTATTTTCCAGAGAGTATTGGTTCATGAGCTTTCTCTGGCAGTACCAGTTAGAAGTGCTGCCGTTATTATTTTACAGTATCATTATAAACCAAAGGACTTAAACTACCTAGCAAGTTCCTATCCACTGCGGTTACTCTTACTGACATTCAAATGGTCCCATCTTTGGCCAGCAGGAGCTCTGAAAGGTTTGCTCCCAAGCCCTTTGACAGGATCCTGTCAGTCTTAGATTATGTCCTTGTTTCCTGGTAATTTTCAGCTTTTCTTTTATATTTTCTAATTCAGAATGCATATTGATTACTTCCCAGGGCCAGCCATGGTATGGTGGCTAAGGAGGCTGGATCCCACATAGCTGACCACACAGTTTGAATCATGGATCCAGCAGCTTGAGAAATAGGCCAAGCATGTTTACATGCATTTCCAAAATGCCAAAAGAAAGGAGAGATGGAGGAGAAGAGATTGTAGTGTGACCTTCTGGCAATTAAAAAAAAAGTGCCCCCTCAGCTTTGATTTCTTCTAGAGTGAACTACTTATTTATTAAAAACAAACAAACAAACAAACAATAAAAAACCTCAGTCTCAGGCAGTAGAGCTACTTATTCACTGCTGGTGTTAAACAATATTAGAAAGTATTTGGCACTGTATTGTAACACTGAACTTTGGTATCACTGTAGTCTAAGCAGTTTTCCCTCTTCCATAACTACTCTAGAATAGGGATCAGGAAAACTGTGGCCTGTGGGTTATTTTTGAAACTATTCCTGCAAGGTAGGAATAGCTAAGAATTTACATTTTTAAATAATTGAGTTTTTAAAAACCCCAAATAATATTATTTCATGACACATGACAATAGTTGACAGTGCAAAAAGAAAGACATGATGGAAAAACTACCTACAAATAGCACTACCCAAAACAATCAAAACAAAATATGAAATCTAAATATTATCCAGCCTTGGGACCAGCAGTTGGCATAATGGCTATTCCACATAGCCAACTGCGGTGCGAGTCCCACACCCAGTGGCTTAAACTCATGCCGGGCACATGTGTGTACATGTCCAAGATCCTGAGAGGAGAATGGAGAAGAAGGGATTGCGGCATGGCCATCCCCCCCCCCCGGGGGGGGGGGTGACTTCTCGCTTTCTGTCTCTTTCTGGTGAGTGCA